CCGCAGGAGCTGAGCCGCGACCCGCACGTGAGTGCCCCCCTGCCCTGCCCTGGGACTGCTGAACTGCGGCCTCCCCCCCGCACCGGCTCTCGGTGGACGTCTTGCCCGGCCGCGGCGGGTCTGCTCGGTGCGGGGCTCACCTCTCGCTTGAGGCCATAGAGCCGAGGTGTCGCGGTCCTCAAGGGCATCCCTCACCTGCAATGAGCATTTCTGAACGTGACATTTTTCAGAGGCAGGAGTTTCTCCACCCCCCCAAAATCATAAGCAAGTCTGGATTGCATGCGCATAGCCTGAGCTGTGTAAAATGGTCTGGCAGGGGTGACACGCAGACCTCTACATCTGATGCTATGAACATGACAAGCCCCCTGATATGGCGCTAGGGCCAGTAATGCGCACAGTTCTCACTGCGCTAAATATCCTGCATTGAGTTTGGAGACTGGCTGCAGTTGGGTTTTTTTTCTTTGCAGTCTGGATGCATATTTGTGGCGGCTCTTTGTTACGCGGCCAATTCTTAAACAAACTCTGCTTTCTAGCAAGGATCAAAGAGCCATCCTAATTGAATAGTGACAAATAAAGGAAACAGTATTATCTACCAGTAAAAGTAGGGCGTGAGTTGGAAATCTGACAGCGCTTTCTGACTCTACCGTTGATATATCGTATACAATCTTGGGAAGGTATCTTGACCTTTTAGCAACCAGGTATAAAATGGCAATGAGAATGCTTAGCTGGGGGTATAATGAGGCTTAATCAATTGTTGCTTATAAAGCAATGTTGATCGCTGGTCGAAAGCCACTTTCTTATGGTTGACTGAGGGTAGGTGGTGGCTTCTGGAGGTGTCTAAGAAAGGCAGTCTCTACATCCAGTCTTCCAGAGTCATTGTACAAAGGGCTCCTGTTAAGTTGGAAGACCCTTATACCCCCTTGCGAACTGGGTGAAAGCTTTGTTGGTTGGTTGAACCTGCATGCCCCTCGGTTCCCACATGCTCGCCTTTCTTTTTTGCTCTCCTTCACGCTGAAGCATTTTTTTTGTTTGTTCATATTTAATACAGGCTCTTGATTCAGTTTACTTCACTGGGTTTACAGAAGCTGACAAGACTTTTGTGATTGCTCGCCTTGCAAGACGTCCTAATGGGGTCTGTGAAATCTGGCTCTTTCTTCGGGTGGATGGAGTCGGAGAGTTTCAAGTAAGTGTTGGGTGAGAAGACGTGCGGGGTCTAGAGTCTGGGAATAATATTTCAATTCCTAACCTGGGATTTCATATGAAGGTATGATCCCCAGAAGAAACAGTGCCTTAAGAAGAGGCTAATGTGCTGTGACTAAGGCTAATGATGGGTAACTGCTGTGATTTAGGGTAGTTACAGGTCAAACTCAGTCTTTACCTTTTCTTTATCATTTTTACCCAACCCTCTTCTTTTTTCATCACTTATCAGTTTAAAGCAATCACATCTGTATTGCTCAGTAGCTCTTCTCCAGTGACACTGGCAGCAGCAGCTTTGGTCAGCAATTAAGAAGATTGTGTAGTGCCAGCCAGGTAGCACATGATAAAACACCCAGATAAATACCTGTTGAGCTGAATAGGGTAGTGTATCAGACTCCTTTCAGAGAGGTGATGCCAAAGGCTTGAAGCAATGATGACAATTAGGAAGGAATAACATGAATGGGTATACTACAGCTGGGAACGTGTGCAGCCTTGATGGGAATGCAAAGCCAGTGCTTCGCCAAAGGTTACACATAAAGCTGTTTTTATGAGAGCTTCCTAATTGAAGCTCGACCCGTCAGACCCCAACAGCTGTCGCTTTACTCTGTGACTACAGAATCGGGGTGCTCAACTGGTACGGATGCTGTGTGACATGCTCTGCTGGAAAAATTGCAGCTCCCAGGGATTTCCTTCCAGCAGCGTCGCCCTTTGAAACGTTTGTTCTGTCTTTTCATCCTGACTCAGTGTTACCTTTTTCTACATTTCATCACAAAGCACATTTTTCCTCATTGGCGTTCTCACTGGTCTTTGTATTTAACTATGTCTGTAACTCTGCACAGGCTTCTGCAATGCAACTTGCCTTAAGAAAATTGTATGGGATGAGAATTTTGTATGAAATCCTACCTCCATTGAAACCAGCAGAAGTTTTGCCATTGATTTCCATGGGGTTGGGATTCCCACATAGCGCCGAGAGCCACCGAAGCGTCTGAAGTTGTTTACCTGGCAAAATCGAGCAGAACTGAAGCCTACCTCATTGTGTATTCTGTATTATGGTATAATTACTGCCATCACTTTTCTTCTGTGGATGTGGTAGTAGTGGCTATTTTTAACTAGAGGTGCTTGGAAAGTTTTATGATGCAACCATGTTGAAAATTGTTAAGTTCCTAGACCCTGAAATGTTTTCATCATACCCTGGACTGGACAAACTTTTGTTTCTTCCAAGGCAAGGTTCCTGGCTGGCGGGTTTTCAGGGTGTGAAACTCTGGAAGCTGCAAGTCTTATCACAGGGCAAAGTACCTGTAGGTCTGCTTTTCATTATTGTTAATATTACTGCTGCCATTTGTCAAGCAGCTGCAGAATCTCAGCAGCTTGGGTTTTTTGGGGTTGGTCCAGTTCAGACTGAAATCTTTATGCGATCTTAGCCAAAGGGGCGGTAAACAAGCAGTTCCAGTAAACAGGAAGTCTTGTTCTTGGCCAGCTCTACCCTTGACAGCATTTGCAGGGTAAAGTGCTAGAGTAATTCTCTAAGATTAAATTGCATTTGTATGTGCATAACCCAAATGTGGGTTTCTTTTGTAGAAATGACTGGGTATTTATCCATTTGGGTGGTTTATATGTAATTTCCTCCTCCATGAAACCTGTGGAATCAGGAAAGCTATTTCAATCAACGTTCCTTCCTCCGTGGGCTGACAAAGCAGGGCACTGCCTCTGTTTTAACCCTCACTGATTTAATGAAAGTTTTAATTACATGTCTTCTTAGCATCCAGTGCATCCAGACGTGATAGTGGCTGATGAGTCTGAAAAATGCTGGAGTGGAGGAGGGCTGACACTTGAATGCTTAGAGCCACACAGACGATGGAAAATAGCATTCCAGGGACTGCTCAGGTATTACCATATCACCGCACAGGATGGGGGAGGACAGTTATTGGGATACTTGCTAAAAACTCTGGTTCTGGAGAATGACAGCTCTCAGGCCTGCCAGAGACTTGCTGCATCATGTTCGGCAACTCATCTGAACTTACTCAGACTCGGTTCCCAGGCTATAAAGTAGAGTTGATGAAAGTAGTGCAGAGAAGGGTAACAAGCTGCAACATCTGTTGAGAGACAACCTTGAGGATAAAGCCTCTCTCATACATGGTTTTGCAGTAAGTAGCTATATGGAGGTCCTGGACTATTTATTTAGAGTAGCTGGAGCAGATAAGCTATAGGGCTTTACATGGGATAGCAGGATAAGTTGTGTACAACAAACATTACACCTTTCTTCTCCCCCCTCCACTCCCCAGATCTCCGCTTAACTTTGAGGAATTCCAGGCCAGGGTTTTGTCTGATCAGGACATTTCAGAAAACATAAAGCAGCACAACCAATAGATGCAGGTCTTTCCACCAAGTCGTATTCAAAGATGGCCTTGTACAATAGCTTCCTGTAAAGTTCTTACGTTAAATGAAGACAGTCCCAGCATTGTAAACAGTACTGGGAAAAGCATTTAAATAATTTCAGACACAAATTATTCCTACTAGGTAATATAGCTGGCAGTGCATGCATCCTGAAAAGACTTGAAAAACACTGGTGACTATACAATGCAAATAGAGTTTGTAACATCCTGCAGCAGAAAACATAGACTCAGCGCAGCATTTACATTTGACTTTGAACACGCATGTACGCATTTGGCCTCTGATTTTCAGGAGATATCCTTTTTAATGTGAGCTAGGATGCAGAATGCATCACGATAAAGAATTCAGGCTACTGTGAGAATTGCAATGTCTCTTATTTTTTTTCCATATCTAAATGCTTCTGCCTTTGCAGAAAACAGTCGGGAGATAGTTCCAGCAACAAGTATTCGGTCCATGGTTAAAAGATGTCTTAAGGCTGAGAGGTTCTGATGTAGCTAAAATATTACAGGTTTTGAGACGAGGGCGAAATGATCAAAGGTCTCCTTTTCAACAGTGGTGTGAATGTTTGGAGCCAGGTTTGCAAAGGTATTTAGTTATCTAAGGATGTAGATAGGCACCTACTAGGATGTTCAGTGCCCAATTCTGAGGGCCAGGAACATGGATAGAAGCCACATTTGCCCTGATTTAACTTACATAGATTTTGCATAGCAATGAAAAATTACATTGGATCTGGAGGAGGCAGACATGTAGGGAGCAGCATGCAGTAGAAACTATTACAGTTCTTGGGTGGGAAGGGAGCAGGTTGTAGCCTGTGTTGCCTTGAGCAGATGGTTATTTTGGATTGCCACAGAGTTTTCCTGGGGTACTTCTATACTGGATTTGAGCAAATTACACTGGTGTAGGGCCATACATTGTCCGTCTGCTCCTGCATTACCCCATTGTAAAGATTATTATACCATTATAAATGTGCCACATCTCCAGGCTCATCTGTGCCTGTTGCTTTTGAACAAACGGGACTAAGACTCTTAAATCATTGAGTGACTTATGAAAATTGGACTTCAAGCCATGAAACCAACCACATCATTTGATCTTGCTTTTGTCACTTTGGCCCTGGCTCCTTGAGAATACCTTGTACTTCTTACCGAAAGCATTTCCTCAAAATCTATACGGTCTGCTTAGCTCAGCTCTTAGAATGAGAATGTGCAAGACGTGCAAGCATGCCTATGCTGTTACACGCTAGGCTAGCTTCAGGAAAGCTCCCAAGCATGCTCCACTCCCTTGCTGAGATTTTTGGGAGTTGCCAAATTCCGTCCTTCCTTCCCTGTGCAGCTTTGCCTCTCTTGATCTTAAGCATTTGAAATCCTGCAGTACTAAAGCCCATGGATTGCACAAGAGCTCAGTAAATGCAAGAGGGGTGAGTGCAAAACAAATTAAAGGAATATAAAGAGATGCGGCTGACATAGAAACACGCTGACACGGTGTTAAATCTTCCAGGAAGGGGCCATATCGGCAACAGTGGAGTGACGAGGAGGGTGAACTTGTGCATGTCAAATTCTCTCTCTGGTAAGCAGATGCTCTCTTTTACTTGGATGCGTCCCTTTGTTGAGTATAACTACAAATAACAAAAACTGAGCCACAAATCTTGGCTCCTGCTGAGTCTGCCGGAGCAGCACTGAGGCCTCTTGCTGGCTTTCACTTGGGATCGAATTTCCTCCCACGTGTATAATGAATTCCTGGTTAGGTTTGGTTGTTAGACTCATTCACTGAAGAAAGATCTGATCAAAAACAGCCCAGCCACACACCCTGGCTTCAGGGTCCTGACAAGCTTTTGCCTCGCTGTTAACACACTGCACCTAAAACATGGGATAGATTTTAACTTGGAAAGCTGTTATATATTTTAAGGTCAACATTTGGCCTCCTTTTAAAAACATCAGACTTCAATCCTATTTCACATGCATGTCTGTGTATCGCTTGCATGCAGCATAACTGCAGTTTTGGGCAGTTCTCCTGGCTACCCCCAAGAGGAGCTGGAAAGAGGGCTCTGCCCGGTGGGCTTGTGGTTACAGCACCTTTTTTGGGAAGTGAGACATGCAGGTTCAAACCTCCTTTGGGCAAGTGGAGGGGTTACATCATAGGGCTATAAACAAATGTCACCAAATGAAGAGGAACTGCTGCATAGGGTGTGTCCCAGTACAACTGATCCACTTCATTGCAGAAAAAAGATGTTGCTGGATCCGTGTCTATTGCCCCACGAGTAGCAGGGACCTGATCCTGTACAACAACACTCAGCCCCATCTCATCCAAGCTCCTAAACTGGGAAAGGTCTTCTGTATAGCAAGACCACTAACAATAATATATTCAGAATATTTTCTGTTTCATTAAGGTTAGATTGTTTTCTACAGGTTTTCTCTTGGACTCTTTGCACCTAGGTACAGTGCAGCACGGGTGTTAACAATCCCTCTTATTTGCTGCACCAGCCACCAAGGAGCTGTTGAGTTCAAGTCCTCCTCTTGTCCCTTCCCAGCAGCAGAAGCTGCAGTTGACTTGTGACCCGTTTTCTTCTCATCTGAAGCACAGACTGTGGCCACCCGGTTTCCTTCCAGATTAATTGAGGTCCCACATAGCTGTCAAAGTCTCATCACCTTTTTAGTGCAAGGTGGACTGTGCAAATCATAACAGGAGATGCCAAGCTGCAATCTGAAAGCAGCATCTTCCCCTCGTTGTGAGTTGTTGAGTGCCAGCCTCACTTGATGGATAATTTCTTGTGCCTTTCTGAAGTAGTCTTCTTCACATAGCATGGTTTCTCCATTGTCCCTCCCTTCATTTTCCCAGAAAACTGCAGCATTAAGAAAAATTGTAGAAATCCAGAGATTCCACACATGAGAAGTAACATATTTCAAATCCCACAAGTCCCAAAGACAAATGAGATCTCTGAGCAATGAGTACAGCAATTGGCCGCATCCCAAATGAAGGCTGATGTGGTGTTTTATTTCTCCCTTTTTCATACATAGCTGGACCACCTTTACAGATGTATTTGACTTTAAATTTGACAGTCATCCAGACTTGTTCGCACATGCCTTGGCTTTGGAGACGTGGAGCCGAGAACTCTTCCAAAGAATCAAAAGGTGAGAGACAATTTTTAACACTTCTGGGGCTGGTTGTAACTTTTGCTTTAATTGCCCAACAATGCCACCAGCTAATATTGCCACAGGCCCTTTCATAATAAAGCTGGGAAAATATTGCTGACAAGCTACGTAACATTTTGCCTTTGATATTTTTTATGGGGAGGCGGTGCAGATTTGCAGTCTTAGAAGAAAATTTTAATTCTTTGTTGAGGCCATGCACAATTTGTAAGCTTTAAACGGATTAATTTAATTGAATTTTGGGACAATACATTTTCTCTTCTTGGTTACAAATTAGCAGAGTAATACTCAGTTACTGCAGCGTATTCCAGACCTCAAGGGTTTCCCTCACCACCAAGGGAAGGGAAGCAGTGGCTGGGGAAGTGGCAGCAGCGACTGAGATACAGGGGATGTGGAAGTTGCTGAAGCAGGAGGCTTGCATCTGTGATTTGCCCCCCACCAAAGAACCTTTCATGCCCTCCCAGGATGCAAGTCCCCCCAGTTTGGGAACCTAATCCTGGAGTATTAGGCAGGCTTTTGCAGTCATCATCACATGTCTCTTCCTAGGTTTTACTGCATTACTCCAGTCTTCCTGTTGTCTCATTCTCAGGGCATCTCTACGTACAACCCTGGTCTGAACAATTGTGTGTGACATTATTCAAGCTCAAAAGTATGCTAGATAAATTGCAGGCAGAAGTCTTGGTTCCAAAATACGCATCTTTCATTTAGAAGCAACACTTCTGTGACTAACAAGTTTGAATAAGAAGCCTTCTTTCTTAGCTGCCTGGTTTTTCTACACCTTTTTTTCCCCCCCAGAGATGGGGAACAACATTCTCGGTATGAGCAATGGGGTCAGCAGATAGGAGAAATTGAAATTGAAAATCATCAGAAGAAAGAGCTCCTTCTGAGAGGCATTCGGACCCACTCTTACGGTAACGATATCACAATGACTGATGAGTAACCTCGCGATTGTTACTTTAACTGTTAATGATGAGAGGATCACGGAAGAGACAGTTGTTACAGCGTTCATGCTCAGATGTGAAATGGGGCAGTTTTGGCAAAATTGTTTTTGTAGCCAAGTTTAGGGCTATATAAAGCTGCTTGGTTTGTTTGGTGGGAGTTCATTTTTCTAGCCTATCTCCACCATTTGCAGTGGACTGGTAGCACCATTTCCAATTTAATTGACAGGCAGGCTTAAATTGGTTTAAGTGACATTGAAATCAGTGAGATTTAGCAAATGGCTAGTGTTGTGTGCATGATTTAAATAACCACTACCTAACTCCTGGGTGTTTAAGTGACATATACTGTGTATATCAAAGCACTGTTAGAATCAAAGGGCTTTCTTCCTCCCTCCAGGCAGATAATGGAGGGGACCCAAGAAAGTGTTGCATAGAATTAGGCACAAGTATTACCCTCTTACTAAAGACTGAGGTAGGGTTTGGTTGCTAACAAGATTTACAGTGAACTTTCAAGTCTGTGTTTCCGTTCTGCCCTTCTGCAGGTATTCGAAACTGGGAGGAGTTTTACCGATATGTCATGCTTTTGATGCATTTTGAGGTAGGTCTTAATATGCCATTCTGCATTCTAGCCATCCAATGCAAGTGTCACTCAACTGGAAGGATATATTTGAAGATCTGGCAGTAATTTCCATAAAGCAGGGATGTCACACATCTGGCCCGTGGGCTGGATCTGGCCTGTGGAGCTGTGACATCCTGTCTGTGAGGCTTCAGGAGAGGTTGGGAAGGCAGGGGCAAGTGAGCCCACGCCTCGGGGGGGCAGGTGTGGTTTTACACTAGGTTGGCTGCTGCATAACGTGATGCTGCAGATGAGTTTGGGGATTACCGCTGGCACTCGAGGCAGCATCGGTTTAGTACAGTTCATGCATTCAGATAAATTTCTGGAAGTCGATGATGGATACAGCTGTTAGTTAATCTCGATCGTGACATTTAATTTCCTGTAAGGACACATTCCGGATCTTCAAGTAATCTAGGCAAAACACATGCTGTATTCGCCTCCCTCCCACACAGTGTTTTGCAGCAGCACATTGCTGTCCCACAAGCGTTGAAGGACCCAATGCCATAGAGCGCTCTAAGTCTTCTCTGCCCTCCACAGCAGCTTGGTCCTCTACCTGGATTCAGTAGGAAGTCTCACGGATCACAGAATTGCAATTGCAGAAAGTTTCCACAAGTTCCCAACTTTCTGAAGCCGAATAGGTAGAATCTCTCTTCTCTTCCTTAGAGTGCCTCAAATTACCTTATCAGACCTAATTAGACCAATGGATCCTGGCCCTGTCTCCTCCAAACTGAGGGTTAATTTTTGGTACAAATCTATTCCTTGAGCTCCCCTAGTCCACTCAGTGTCCTGAAATATTTAAGAAACCTCAGTTTTGATTCTTTTGGTATCAGGGAAATAGCAGCAGGAAACCATTCTCGTGTTTCGGACCTCGCCCCAGCTCATTTATGCTTATTTTGCTCCCTGTTGCTTTCTCTTTGCTTCTTTGCACCTTGTTTTGATCCAGGCACCGATCGCTGCCCATTTTGGCCAAAGCCTCTGATAAACCCCTCCACTGAATCAGCGGATCTGCAGCTGCACTGATTCAAACTGGCTGGTGTTGTGAGCTATTTGCTGTGTCCCTCATTTAGAAGTCTTAGCTCTCCTAAATGAAGGACACAGCAAACATTTGCCCATGGCTTTTTCAGCTTTCTTTAATTTGCTGTGTTTTTTTTTGGTGCCTCTGTTGAAGGGATGTATGCCAACAAACAGTGGGAATGATGGGCTGGGCAGAATTATTAAGCAGGGATTCCCAATAGACCCTGGAAACCCACCTTGGGTCTAATGCCAAGGAAATGCTTCTTCGGAGGCCCTCCCAGTGTAGATACAGGTATGGCAAGCCCTGATGTGTTTACTGGAGGCAGCACTTGTACATGGGCAGGGTGGGCCCCCTGTACGTCTTCATGTGAGCAGATTTCACCGCATGCTTGGATGAGGAAATGCAGCAGCTGCGTTGCTCAAACTGGCAGCAGTGCACCAGCATCTCATAAAACAGAGCTGATCCCTGGAGTATTTGATTCTTATCATGAGTGGTGCCCGCAGCACTTTTATTCTCATAGTAGCATAACTAAGGTGTGGTAAGCAGTGCAGCAGCCCCAGGCACTGACTGGAGGGGGCAGGAAAATAGCAGCTGCATAGCTACACTGGCAGCACAGTGACAGCTGGATGTCACCACTGCCTCTGTGTGTCACAGCTGCCCGGGGGGCTGGCTGCCTTGTTACATCCCTCCCAGTCCCTCAGCAGTCAAAGTTAATGGTCTCCCTGCACGACTCATTAAAAGCCACGAAAATATTTGCTTTGGTAAGTAATCGCTCACTGCTGGTAGAGGGCTAGCATCTCCTTCTCTGTATGCAGCATGGACCAGGCACATACTCACACCAGAAAGACCTGAAAGCAACCTGCTAGGGAGCTTCAGGGTGGGAAAAAAATCTGGCAAAGTGAAGGTGCCATCACATCTGTGCCTTCTGACAGACTTTCAGTTGAAGTTTCTATAGCCCTTGCCTGTGGGTCTTCTCTTGTTTCCTGTTCTTGCCATTGCTTTCGCTCCTCCTATTCCTGCTTCTGGTTCTCCAATTGATGCTGGTCGGTATCCTCCTCCCACGCATTTTCCTGGCTTTTCCATGCAATGCCATTATGCTGTCTGCAGCCCCATCTTTCATCTTTGCACACCTTTGTGTAACCAGATAAAGCTGTCGGTCAGCATCTGCTTTCATGCATCTGCTGGATCAAAAGTGGTTCCTCGGTGCGTCTGGTTTGCATGGTCTGCCCATCACGTTCTGTCCGGGACCTTTTCACAGATGACATAGCGAGTCAAGTGCTAGCAATTTTATATCCAGTATGTTTGGCAATACAGAATGATAAAATGCTGTATAACCCCAGTCTTCTCTGGGGTCTACTTATTTTAGGAAGTCTGGAGATTTCTTCAGCGTGCAGCACATAAGATATAATTTGATCAAGCACGTTGGGAGCAGCTGGTGGATTAAAAATAGCAGATGTCTCAGCTAGCTCGAACAAGTTAGGATACTGTTTCATCTCAGGCCTTTTTCTTGCAGGATGGGACCTCAGCACACCTAACAGTTCTTTGTAAACCAGCAACTACAACACAGTAAGTAGGTTCAAGAAGTTAGTATAAAAGATACCTTCAAAACAGCAGCAAGTTGCACCCTTGGAAGACGACGAGACACCCCTTATTCTGCACCTGCACGATCAGATTTTCTTCCACATCACACCTGGATGTCCAAGGGGTAGGGTGGGGGGAAAGTTTGCCTCTACCATTTTGTGGTTGCCAGTAACCTTAGGAACAGCTTTCACTTTTTGTTATGTGTTGACTCAATTTACATATCTACCTTATTGTCACACGTCAAGGATTTCCAGGCATGTAAGTTCTGCCATTGACTCACAGCTAATGGCACGGGAAAGATCAGAGACAGGCATTTAAATCCTGGCCGTTTGTAGCTAGCATCACACCAGAAAGCTTAGCACTTTGCAAATTGCTTCAAGATTTCCTAACATTAATAAATGTACAACTATAGGAAACATTTTAGGAACAATTTTAGTGGTAGGCAAATCATGACACAGGCAGGTCCAGCAACTTTCCCAAAGATGCAGGTAATGGAGTGAATCTTGCTGGGAAAAACTCAGCAGTGCTAATTACCAGTCCTCCCCTGAGTAACCATGAGGGCAAGTGAAGAATCAGGAAAGTTAAAGTCAGATATACCCGAAGTTCCTAAATGAACTAGAGTAGAAAAAACAACACGTGCAATAGTTGTTCTCCTACCACGTTTGATTGAGATGCTAAAAGTTCCCCTCCCTTCTTGTTTTGTAGGTTAACCTCACCCTTTCCCAGGTCCCCCATACCATGAGTTTCCAGTTCCCCAACTGTGTGGAGTGATCCCTAGATATTTTTCCTTCTCCTATTCCCCTAGCCAGTGCCATACCTGGACTCCTGGCAGCCCTGGGCAAACTTTTAGTATCAGGCTCCCCTTTGCCAGAGATAATGATTTTTTTGTTGCAAAAGTCTTTATCACATCTGTGGTATCGTTGTCTTTAAATTATTCATTCTCCATTGATCACATTGCCAGTCCTGTATATGCACAATATTAAAACTTTATTTTGTGCAATTATTTTTTTTCTTTCATTTTCAGACCCCCTCTCTATCCAGGTCCTGGGCAGCCGCTGGGTTCACCCATGCCTGTGTCTGGGTCTGCCCCTGGCAGCTCTGTTCACCTGCCTCTTTTGCAGTCTTCCTATGATGTCTACTCTCAGTTTTGTCTCTTCTCTTGCCTGTTACCAGAAAGTAGATTAATTGTTCTTTCTCCCCTTATTTTCCTAGCGCTCATTGCTACTCAGCCTACATATCCCAGGGCTCTTCTAGGAGCCGCCTGTTTTTGGTTCAGGTTTGAACCATTTTCTGCAATCTGTCTTAAACAACCAGCACTTTGTTTCATTAAAAAGGCCATTAGTTTTGACTGAGCTTTGGATTTGTTCTTTTTTTCCTTCAGCCTTGCTGTTGGCTATGTTATTTTCCCAAATGGGAAGAAAGCCGGTATTGACTGGACCGATGCCTTGCTGGCTGAGATGGCTGATGATGGTATTATTAAAGACACGTACAGGGTCAGCTTCACTGCAGGTAACTTAACAGAACTCAGTTTATCATCACCTTCATACTTTTTTCAATATCAAATTAATATCTTTAGCATCTAGGAAATAACTTTACTGAACGCTGGTAGAGACATTTAGGAGAATTTTCCTGGATATGTCAAGGAGAAACCGCATTTTTGGAGCTCTCATTGCTGTAATTTGATTTCTCATTTTCGTTTTATTTTGCATGATTTCATCTGTCCAGGCATCACACACTTTTCACCTGCTGCGTCTGTCATGTCTCTGAGTGATCAAGTGATCCTTCAATTCTATAAGCATTTATACATGCTTCATATGTTAAGCATGGGATATTGCTATGGACTCCAGTGAGACTACTCACATACCTAAATAGAAGCATGTGGAGCATTCACTGCAAGACCAGGACGTTAGATAATGGTCTAAAGCACATAATCCCTATTTTTGTTGAGGATTTCTGCTCCAGTTCATCTAGTTTTGAAATAACCCGTGCAGTTTCCAGTTTTCTTTGCTCAGAGTTTGTGTTTTGGACTAGATGCCAACCACTCTAGTCCCTAAAATGCTGAACAACCAAGTGCTTTCTAAAAAAATATACAGAGCACATGTGAGAAATATTTTAAAAATACAAGGGATTGGAGAACTGTTTAAGAATATGCAAAAGCTCTTGCTTGATTCATCTTGCCAAATTACTGTCATAAATCCAAGGAAACCATCTTTTTTCACCTTAACACAGATGGCAAGTCCTTCAGCGTTTGTGCTACACTTGACAAGGAAGCTCGCCCCATGGTGTATAATAGTTCAACTGGGAAAGGAGTTTTCCATGAGTGTATTGCTGATTTCCAGCTGAATTCTTTGCTGCGAGGCTGGGGCCTGGTTGAATTTTATTACAGGTAAAAATCACAAGTAAAAACAGAGGCATTATTCTGGTAGCGCCAGGCGGATCTGAGTGAATACGGCCACCGGGGATCTACAAACATACATTCAAATAAAATGCTCAATCACCAAATATGAATGTATTTGTTGTGTGTGTATTTGCAGTTGTTTCGTTTTGAATTGTACACAGGCCAACCCAGGGGGAGTTTGGATTGGATCAACCTTGCTTGGATCAAGCGAGTCGTTGTTCAAAGGATTGCTTATGCAAAGCAAATAAGTCACAAGCTTGTGCAAATGTGTATCCCTGTGCGTGTTTATTTTAAAGAAGGAGTAATACAGACAGCTTGGTACCTCCTCCTGTTTTCTGAAGTGGGAAGGTATTTTGGAAGTATAAATAATAGTCTGGCTGGGATGATCCTGCCTTGAGCAGGGGGCTGGATTAGGTAAGCTCGTGAAGTCTCTTCCAGCCCTACTTTCTGTGTTACTTGGGAACCCTGTCATGTTATGGAAATAATGCATCAGGAACATTATCCATTCACAAGCAGCATACTAGGGGCTGAAGACTGTTCACCCCCAAGATTTGTCCAGTCATAATTGAAAATTGAGAAAATATTAAAATCTCAGTTTATGGGTGAGCTTTAGGAAAACTACAATCCAATCTTCACTGTGAACGGCTCACACTACTGTGCTGTGGAGTATGATTATTTCTTTTATAGCTCAAGACTTTCCCTAAAACAAATAAGTAAAAGCACAAAGTGTATTTGAAAAATCTTGTCCTAAGACTGCTGCAGGTTTCCAGCTAAACTGGTTATGCTCACAAGCTGATCAAGACCGGTTACGAAGGAAACACAGTATTTGGATAATGGTCCTGGAAAAGCTTTTCATTAG